AGCTGCCAGTGTATGCTGGGGAGAGGCAGAGACGGCGCTAAGAAGGCCGTGGGCGCAGGTGGGTGTGCTGCCAGGGACGTTGGGTAAAATGCTTAGACCCCAGGCAGATGATGCTACTCGATGGGGACTGTTTCCTGTTGGGCCAGTGAGAGGAAGTCCCCCTGGCCTGCAGTGGTGCCAAGCTCACAGCGCTGCCTCCTTGAATTTCGTGTCCTCACGTGCCCCACCCTCTGCTTCCCACTAAAGGCACGGTCAGCGGTTTCTGCTTAAGTCAAGCCATCCGTGCATTCCCGGAGACCGACGTAAGCAACAGGGTTTATGGTAGACAAGGAGTTGGGGCACACCCTCAGAGGAAACTCAGGCACCTTCGTAACCAGAGCACGGACAGAGACGGCAAATAGAGAGAGGTCTCTGGAGAGAGCAACTCGAACCATGCTGGAAGCTCCAGGAAGTGTTTTAGATGCACAAACGAACAGGACGGACGTGCAGCGATAACCACTGCAGGAGGAGGCAGAGCGGAGCCAGTGCGGCTGTCACATGGCGGGCGTGGAAAGTGGCCCGGGCTCAAAAGCTCTTTAAAAATGTTCTTAAAGGGCTGGAAGATTGCATGGTGGTTAGGGGCACTGGACTCCCACATGACCAACTGCAGTTCGAGCCCCAGACCTGGCGGGTTGCTTTCTCACTTTCCCTCTCTCTCTGTCCCTCACTGGTCAAATTAAAAATTAATTAACTAAATGTTAAATAAATAATTCTTTTTTTTTTTGAGAGAGAGTTTTTGCTATAGGTCGCATGCACTTGCCAGAAAGACAGAGAGGCAGAGAGACAGAAAGTGAGAAACCATCCCCCAGGGGGGATGGCCACGCCGCAATCCCTTCTCCTCCATTCTCCTCTCAGGATCTTGGGCACGCACGCACACGCACCCAGCGTTAGTTTAAGCCACCAGGTCCCAGACTCAAACCATGTTTGACTACATAGGAGTCCAGCGACATAGCCATTACGCTAACTGCTGGTCCCTTAAATAAACGATTCTTTAAAAAACAAAGTCCTTGAAACACAGGCTGAGGGCTCTTACTGTCAGCACAGCAGCCTGGCTGCCCCCTTTCCTGCCCTGCTGGTTCCCTTCGCCCTACCCCACTCTGGCCTAGGAAGAATCGCTTCTGAACAAGCCCTCATCCGTGGCATGCTGTGGGGCTCCGTCAGCTTCTAGTCACGTAAAACCGTATGCCACGGAAATGCGTGTCAGAGAAAGCCACGTCGTGATTCTCCCTGTGGGCGCGGCTGGGCCGTGATCAGCAATGGAGCAGAGGACAGAGACTCGGGTGCTGACAGCTGGCCCCGCGCTGCGGGCTGGCGACGTCTTCAAGCTCGGAGGGTATGAGTCTGATAAGAGGCTGGTAGCAAACCCTGAGCACTGGCTGTAGGGCCAGAGGAGGGTCTGGAGCAGCAGGTGGCTTCTGACACGGGCAGTGGCCAAGCCCAGGGCAGCCGTGGCTTTCCAGCAGGTCAGGCAGGGGCTGGCGAGGGCAGGGCTGACGCTTCATCAGAGTCCTGACGGCTCCTGAGCACAGGAAGCCTTGGGAGCTGGGGCAGACCCGCAGTTGGCACCAGCCTTGGGAGCACTGTGGACGGGTCATTCCTGTAACTCCGGGGGGTCCTCGTGCCATCTGTGCAGGAACCCTCCTGAGAGAACTGTCCATGGACCGCCCCAGCTCCTCTGCTCCCCGCTCGGCCCTCCCTGCCGCCGCCACCCAGTCAGGCCGTTACTCTGGCAGGCCAACAGGAGTGTCCAGCTGAGGTCGCCGTGACCCCACACGACCCCGCGAGATCCCATGACCATTTTCAGGACACATGTGACTTGTCCTGCCATGGTCATCTGACATGGTTGTCCAGTCCCTCCTTTAAACACCTTCCTCCCTCGGCTTGCTGCTCGCCACCGTCCCCCAGCCATCCTCTACCTCCCCGGCCATTCTTTCTCCCCATCACCTCGCTGATCCCTAAAGGCTGGCTGTCCGAGGGCACCAGCCTCGGGGTGCTCCTTCTCTATGCATAGCCTTGGTGAGGGCTCTCGGAGACGCATAGTCCAACCCAGACCTCTCCCCAACCTCTGGTTCCCCACACACCCACAATGGGCCATTTCACACCTTGGAAAAAGCACCTCAGCTAACGGCAACTCCGTTCTCCAGTGGCCGGACTAAGTAAGGCCTTGGTGTCACCCTTGACTTCTTTCTTACACGCCTGGCATCTGATCCATCCGGAAGTCCTGTGGGCTCTACCTTCAACCCGATCTCTTCTCACCTCCACTCACCCTGCTACCACCAGTCCCTAAGCATGTCACCCTCCCCTCAGTTACACAGTGGCCTCCTAACTGGCCTGCCTGCTTCCACGCTTGGTCTTCTGCTTGTAGGGACCAGAGTTCCTACAACAAACGACTGGAAATTGAAATTAATGTCAGTCACAATGACTTCAAAAAATACCAAATATCTAGGACCAAGTACATCGAAAGATGTGTAAGATTGCTATACTTAAAATAACAAAATACTTTGGGAAAAGTATCCCAGTGTACTGGATTGAGTTGGCATTGTACAGAAATGAAAAACCGGGGGACCAGCAGTTAGCATAATGGCTATGTCGCTGGACTCCCATGTAGTCGACCGCGGTTCGAGTCCCAGACCTGGCAGCTTAAACTCACTCCAGGCGCAAGTGTGTCCGTGCCCAAGATCCTGAGAGGAGAATGGAGAAGGGATTGCGGCGCGGCCATCCCCCCTGGGGTGTGATTTCTTGCTTTCTATCTCTCTCTGTCTTTCTCTGTCTTTCTGGCGAGTGCATGCATCCTATAGCAAAAACCTCTTCAAAAAAGAAAAAGAAAAGAAAAGAAAAGAAAAGAAAAGAAAAGAAAAGAAAAGAAAAGAAAAGAAGAGAAAAGAAAAGAAAAAGAAAAAACCATATTGGTCTAGAAACATTACATTTAATTTTTTTCCATTTGTACAGGGGTAGTGCACTGTATTAAATATGTAAGGTCTTATCTATATG